AAATACCAAAGAGCATGATTGCCGGTTATATAGTGAAGGTAAATGTGTAGGAAACTGAAAGGCTGTTTTCCAAAGCACTCCTTTTTGCATTTCCATCAGCAACAAAATAGAGCTTCTGCCCTTTTACATCCTTTCCAGCATTTTCTGTTGTCAGGATTTTGAATTTGCCTTTCTAATGAATGTACATGAGTATCTTATACTTTAAGTTACAATTTCTTCATAATTTAAAAAATTTTTATTTTATGTGTTTGAGTGTCTTGCCTGACTGCATGTAAGTGCAACTATGTCATACGATGCCCACCAAGGTCAGAAGAGGGGCGTTGGATTCCCCTGGAACCGGAATTATGGGTGGTTGTTACCTACCATGTGGGTACTAGGATCTGAACCCAGTGTTCTGAACCACTGAGCCATTTCTCCAGCCCCAAATCACAATTTCTAAGTAGGTGATTTTGAGCATCTTTTCATTCACTTAACTTTCCACCTACATCTTGCCTAATATCTAATTAGATTAAGATGTTTTTAAAACCCCACGTTTTAGAAACAGTCCTTCATCAAATCCATCTTTTGCAAATGTTTTTTCTTCATGCATGGCTTTCTTTGAATTCTTGGTGTTTTTGCATAGCAGTGGTTTGTAATTTGAAAACAGTTTAACTTAGGGTTTTTTTGTTTTTTTTTTTTTTGTGGGTAGTCCATTTTGCATCCACTAAAGCTAGTCACCTAGGTTTTCTCCTGTGTAATCTTCTCGAAGTTTTATAGTTTTGCATTTCACATTTAAATCGATAATACATACTTATTTTTGTGAGTGATGTAAGATTTTGTTTCTTTTCTCTTCCATTCCCTTCCCTTCCTCCCTTTCTCCTTCCCCTCCCTCCTTCCATCTGTTTAAAATACTTTGTATTGTTACTGTTCTCTTGACAAATGGTGAATTGACTGTATTTGTGTGGTTTATGTTTGGACTCTCTTCTGTCAGTCTATTTATTACCCAAACCTGCACTGCCTTGATAACTGTAGATTGATGATAACTGAATTTATGGGGTAATAGCAATTCAGCATCATTTTTCAGTACTTTGTTGCTTATTCTGAGTTTTTTGCTCTAGAATCAGTTTGTTAATATCTACATAACAGCTTGCTAGAATTTTGGACAGGATTGCATTGCATCTGTAGAGCAAGTGAAGGAGACTTGGTAGTTTGACAGCTTTTTACTTTTGCTATATGGAATGACTCCATTTTTCAACAGTTTAGTAGTATTTCTCAATAATAGAACTTTTAAAAAATATTTATTATTTTTAATGTGTATGTATGCATTGCCTGCATGTAGATAAACAGACCCGTGTCATGCAATGCTCATGGAGGATAGAAGAAGCTGTCAGATCCTGTGGAACTGGAGTTAACAGAGAGTTGTTAGCTGCCATGTGGGTGCTGGGATTCGAACCCAGGTCTTCTGCAAGAACAGTCAGTGTTCTTAACCACTGAGCCATCTCTCCAGCCCCAGTAATAGAACTTGCATATAATATTGCTAGATTGATATCTAAAAGTGTTTCACTTTTAATATGTGCTAATAAAAATATAATTTGGATTGGTTTTGATTCTTTTGAATTTTGCACATAGACAAAAACATCATCCACAAAAATAGTTTTACTTCAGCCTTTCCAAACTGAATTTCTTTGTCTTGTGTGGCAAGGACTTGTAGCTTAATAGGCACGGTATGAGGAGCTTGCCTTATGCTTCATCTTAGTGGAAAGTGTCTGTCTTCACCTTTGTACCTTAGCTTGAAGAGTTTGTTGATGTTCTTTATCAAGTTAAAGGAAATTCCCTCCTTTTCCTGGTTTGTTGCTTTTTTTTTTAAATCATGACTGGTCTTGGAGTTAATGAAATCCTTTTTCTGCATCTATCAATATGGTCTTGTGTTTTTTCCTTTAGCCTGTGGTTATGATGTATTAATTGATTCTCAAATTTCAAGCCAACCTTGAATATTTATAAGAAATCATATTTTTCAGGATGTATAATTTATTTTGTTTCATTGTATTTATTTACTTACTTATTTTTTGGTCTTTTTGAGACAGGGCCTCTCTGTAGCCCCAGCTGTCCTAGAACTCACTAAGTAGACCATTCTGGCCTTACACAGATCCTCTTTCATTGTATTTATTTACTTATGTGTATCAGTGTTTTTGAATGCATGCAGGTAAGTGCACTCCTGAGTTCAAAGCCATGGCTTACTCTGTTGCCCAGACTGGCCTTGAACTTGAGGGAATTTTGCTTCAGCCACCCAAGTGCTAGGATTATAATGTGATCCACTTACACCTAGCTTAAAAAGACATAGTATTCCTTTTGCACACTAGTGGATTTAATTTACTCATAGTTATTTGGTATCTATGTATGCTCATTGGAGATGCTAGTACATAACTTTTCCTTCTTATACTCTGCTTTTGATAATAGGTAAATACTAGCTTCTTTCTGTCTAACAAATTTGGTATCTTTCACCAATACCTCTAGTGATGTTGCATGCAATTGATGTATTTAGGTCATTGATGATGCTTTCTTGCTTGTTTTTTAAGAGCGGTCTGATTATATTGCCAACCTCCTGTCCCTCAGTCTTCAGTACTAAGAATATAGCAATGCACCACTAAGTTCAATTTTGACCATTGATGTTTAAAGTGATGTTCATATGGTGACTGTTTAATGTTTGTTGCTCTAGTTTTCCCATTTTCTCAGTTAATTGAGCAATTTATATCTTTTTTCTTCATTAGCATACCAATTATACTTAACTTTTTTGGTGATTGCCTGTGAATTTACTAGTTCTCTCTCAATGTTTTACCATTTCACAATTAGTGCATGTAGCTTGTTGGTGTGTTTTTTTTTTTTTTAATAGCCTTTTAAATTTTGTTTATCTGTGTGGATCATGCATGCCCATATATAGAGGTCAGAAGACAACATATGAGATCTAGTTCTTTTTCTTCATGTGGGTCACTGTATTGAATTCAGATTGTCAGGCTTGGTGGCAAGTGCTTTTACTTGCTGAGCCATCTCACTGGCCCTAAGTTTTTGAGATGAGTCTCTTTGTAGCCCAGGCTGATCTCAACTTTTGAGCCTCTGTCTCTACTAAATTTTTTTTTGCATGTTTGTTAGAGAATATCTTAATTTCTCAATTTTACTGGTTAAAGAATTCTAGATTCAGTAATTGTTTCCCCTAGGACACTGAATGGTTCATTCCAATCTCCTCACATTTATGTGTATGAGTGTATTGCCTTTGGAGGCCAGAAAAGGGTGTTGGAGGCCCTGGAACTGGAGTTATGGACAGTTGTTAGCTGCTGTGTGGATGCTGGGAATCGAACCTGGGTCCTCTGGAAGAACAGCAAGTGTTCTTAACTACCGAGCCATCTCTCCAGCCCCAAGATTTCTTTCAATTTTTTATGTGCATGAATATCTTGCCTACATTTAAGTACATGATGTACATGTAGTGCCTGTGGAGTCCAGAAGAGGGCTTCAGATCCACCAGGAACTGGAGTTACAGATGGTTGTGAGCCACAGTATGGGTGCTGGGGACCAAACCCTGTATTCTGCAAGAACAGCAAGTTCTCTTAACCTAACTCCTGAGCCATCTCTCTAGCCTCTGGATTTCTTTTTTCTTTTTCTTTCTTTCTCTTTTTTTCTTTTTTTGGTCTTTTTGAGACAGGGTCGGAACTCACAAGAGCCCTTCTGCTGAGTGCTGGGATTAAAGGTGTGCAAAACATGCCCAGCGTAGCATCTGGATTTCTTATTCTTGATCTTCTATAGCTGTAGCAGTTTTTCCTTCTGATTTCTTTGAAGTTCTTAGCTGATTTTCTACAGCTTGAATCTGAAGCCTATGGGTAGTTCTGTGAAGTATCCTGTGTGATCTGAGAATCCTGGATCTATGTCCAGCTTGAGTCTTTTTTTATACATTCTGACAAACTACCTTATGGAGTCAATTTGCATTGGATGTTATTCTTAATAAGTTGGATTGTGACTATTTTTTTCCTGTTTGTATCTTCCGGTTTTCATTTCCTTTCCCTTCCTCTTTTACTGCCTTCTTTTGAACTAATTGTGTGTGTGTGTGTGTGTGTGTGTGTGTATACGTATGTATGTATTAGAGTTTGACTTCAAGCTATTGTATTCGTATCCTATTTCCTTCATTATTTATTTGTGGTGCCAGGAATCAGTCAGACCCAGACCTTTTAAAGGGCAGACAAGTGCTCTGCCACTGAGCTCTGCCCAGCCCAAATTATTATTTTTAAAATTATACTTTAAAAATATAGCTGGGTGTGGTGGCACACGCCTTTAATCCCAGAGGCAGGCAGATCACTGTGAGTTCAAGGCCAGCCTGGTCTACATAGTGAGTTGTAGAACAGCTGGAGCTACAGGGAGACCCTGTCTTAAAAAGACCCCCCCCCAAAACAACATACACACACACACACACACACACACACACACACACATATGTGGAGGTCAGAGGGCAACCTATGGGAATTCCACTTGCACCTTGTGGGTTTGGAAGATTGAACTCAGGTTATGAGGCGTGGTTCCAAGTGCCTTTATTGAGTAAGCCATCTCGCAGCCTTATTTCAGCATTTTGAAGATGGCATTTCACTCACTGCCTTTGTTCTCTACTGTTTTGTTTCTTTGTTTTGAAAGTCTTCCTGTAGCCCTGGCTGGTCTTGATCTCACAGAGATCCACCATCCTCTACCTCCCGAGTGCTGGGAATAAAGAATGTGCCACAATGCTTAGTAATGAATTGATGGGGGTGGTTATAATTAGAGAACACTAATAAATGAAGATTTAAGGGCAGGTGGGTAGTGTGTACTCTTTCACACCCAGTGAATTAAGCAGTGGTCTTGAGTAGTGAGATACTTAAAGCATAGGAACAAGTGATGAAATGTAATCCAAGTGTTTAGTTTCCTCTTGATAATGGGTCAAAAGCAAATGAAATATTTATAGGCTATTATATTCAGTTTTCCTAATATTGAAACTTTCTTGTTCATAGCTCTTGGACAAACATAAAAATATAGAGAGCATGGTGGAACTTTTGGACTTGTATCAGATGGAAGATGAAGCCTACAGCAGCCTTGCAGAAGCTACAACTGAACTCTACCAGTATTTACTTCAGCCATTCCGAGACATGAGAGAACTTGCCATGCTGCGCAGACAGCAGATCAAGGTATTTTCTAAAACCTAAATTGTAGCCACCTAACTTGATAGTTTTCAGGCTGTCTGGCTATATATTTTAAGTACAAAAAAAAAAACAAAACAAAACAAAACAAAAAAACCCTTTTTAAACAGTGCAGACACATTCTTGGCCCTTTCTTTGCAGAGGTCCTTATTTTGAAGATTGATTGTCATAGTCTCCATTAATACATTTAAAAAGCATTGAGCCAGGCGTGGTGGCGCACGCCTTTAATCTCAGCACCCGGGAGGCAGAGGCAGGCAGATCTCTGTGAGTTCAAGGCCAGCCTGGTCTACACAGTGAGTTCCAGGACAGCTGGGACTACAGGGAGACCCTGTCTCAAAAAGACAAAAAAAAAAAAAAAACAACAACATTGAATTGTCAGTTGTTTTTTCATAAACTGGGTACTTGGAGGATTAAAATGGTAGCAGGAACCTAAGACTGTTGGGTTCTGAAATTTGCTTAACTTTTGAAAACCAACTTTAGATGTTTTGAGACAAGCACAAAGGCCAGTAAAGACCTGGATAATGTAGATGTCTCAGCCACTTTTAGATTGTTGACAGTATTTGCAGTCCTCTGCTGCTCAGCATTGACTACTTGAAACTTAGTTGCAATCTTAGCATATTGTTAATTTTATCTGTTTGTATTGGGTACGTATTAACTAGAATCTGAAGGTTGCTCAGCTATTGTCACTACTTATTATTCCGTTTTTCTTGGGAAGCAGAGTATGAGGAGAAACAGATCATATGTTTGTGTGTGTGTGTTTGTGTGTTTTGACACAGGCCCCCATTACTGGCCTGGAACTCCCAGGTTGGCCTTGAACTCAGAGATCTGCCTGCCTTTGCCTCTTGAGTGCTGGTTGTCCCTCAGATGCCCCATTTATTCATGTTTATTAAATACAGGCATATTTGCTAGTAGTTCACTATACTTAGGTTTCGAGCTCACACAGTGTGTTAGATGAATACATGTTAAGTGGTGCTATTGTACAAATTATTTTACTTTTTCTTTTTGAGACAAGGTCTTCCTGTAGCCAAGCTGGACTAGAACCCACTAAATGTAGACCAGGTTGGCCTGGATCTCCAGAGTCCTAGGATTAAAGGCATGGGCCACCACACCTGTCATCTCATTTAAATAATCTTATGTCTTGCTTCATAGACAAGAAAACTAACATTGGCTTCATTTATATTCTTGTCTTTAGCTAATAGTAAAGCTACTACAGTTATAGGACTACAGTTTCAAAGAACGTTTTAAAATTATAGTAATGATGGTATAGTTATGTTAGAAAATGTACGCTCACTAAAAGTTATTATGACACAAGTGGTGGAGCACGTCTTTAATCATAGCACTTGGAACAGCAGAGGCAGGGAGAGCATCAGGTTTTTCAGTTTGTTCTCAGTTTTAACTTTAGTTTGATCTGTTATTTTTTTCTAATTTGTTTTGTGCTGGGCAAATGCTCTACCAGTGGCTTCGAGGTTTTTAAATTGGACCTTAGTTTATAAAGAATTATGTGACATTAAGTATATTTGTTAGGAGGGGAAAGGTCTAAAATTGATAATAAAGAAGCCAGAAAACCACTGGTGGAGCATTTGCCCAGCACAAAACAAATAAATTAGAAAAAAATAACGGATTAACTAAAGTTAAAACTGAGAACATTGAAAGTAGAAATCACCAAAAAGCGAAACAAATTAGACAAAAATCAGTGAAACCAAAATGTGTATGAAAAAATACACATTTCAGGGGGCTGGAGAGATGGCTCAGCAGTTAAAAACACTTTTTAATTTGTTGTGAGGAGGAAGCATTTAGTATTTCATGTTAAATAGTAGAGGTGATAAACATTACCAGTGAAATCTACCTGATGACTTTATATCCTTACTCAGGAACTAAGGGTCCAAGTGTAACCAACCGTGACTAGTAATAATCAGATACATAGAGATTAAAGACACATGTGCAAACATCTAAGTGTTAGTAGCTTTAAAAACATAGGAAACAGCATATTTTAAAATGAAATGGAGATCTTCTTTAAAGGGTAAAAACTCATTCGATTTTATGCCTTATAGGGTTTATACTGAGTTCAATATTGTATAACTATTAATTCAACTGTGAACCTAAAAATTTGCAGCCACTTTTGAAAGAGATAGATATATCCTTGCTCTGGAATGTGTTACTGAGTATGTTAAAGCTGTAATGAAATGCTTCTAATCATGTGGTTATTAAGTTTTTAAAAAATTAAAAAACAACAAAAACTTACTGACCTTGCAGAAGACCCGGGTTCGAATCCCAGTATCCACATGGGGATCTGACAGCCTCTTCTGTCCTCCTTGACATTGCATGACACAGGTGCACTTACCTACATGCAGGCAATACACACACACACAAAAAAAATAATAATAAATAAAATATTTTAAAAAATAAAAAGAATACACATTTCAGTATATTTTTAGAAGCTTAATCTAAATTAATTTTTTGAAATCAGTAATCATTGGAGATTTCTATCAAAGATTAGAGGAAGAAATAATGCCATCGCAGTACAAAGTCAGGAAATAAAGGCTACAAGTTGGTTTAATACCTGTCTCCACCTTGACAGATAGCAGGCGAACATGGCTTTCTATACCACTTTCCTGTTTTTTTGGTTGATTTTAAACTTAGTAGCTATGATGCTACAAATAATTGTTAAGAACTTTGCTTAAGACTTTTACTGTAACTAAGACATTAATCAAGGGTCCGCTTGAGTTCTTTTCCTAACTTGGGAAATCCGAAGACGCAGCAGCAGTATGGGTCAGCAGATCATGTGCTAAAAACAATGACAGCTTTGTTTTGAATTTCAAGGCGAGATAGAAAACAGAGCCTGTTTTAACATGGAAAAAAGTGTGTGTTGTTTTAGGTAGCTAGGGATGTAAAACAAGTTTATAAATACAGATTCTCTGGCATGGACTTTCTTACTATAAAGTACATCGTTGCTGGGACATTGCATTTGATGAGAAAGTTCCTATGGTATTTCTGTGGGTTATTAGGATCCTAGGGAGAACCTAACTTTGAGAAATATAGTAGCATAGTGTAACTTTTCCAGGCATTGAGACTGTTTGTTCAACGATGAACAAGTATGGAGAGATTTGATATACTTATTTTTGTTTTATGTGTATGAATGTACCTGAATCCAGAAAGGATCCTCTGGAACTGGAATTATGGGCTGTTGTTAGCTGTCATGTGGGTGCTGGGAACTGAATCTGGGTCCTCTGCAAGATCAGCCAGTGCTCTTAACTGCTGAGCCATCTCTTTCAAACCCCATGGAGAGCTTCCTAATATACCAGCCAAGAAGGTGATATTCTTTTTAAAAAGGTATTTTTTATTCGTGTTGATCAAAGTGCACCATTTAATCATGCAAGTAGAAATGATCTCTATATTAATGTTCTGAGTTAGGAGTTTTGAGCTTCGATATTCATTATGTTTATTTCTATTCCATCTGTTGGTTGATTTTTTTTTAATCAAACTAGTAATTTCAGCAGTGAGAGTTTAATAAAAGGATTTGATAACTAGATATAAAGTGATCTGGATAATTAAGAATGCAAAGAAAGTAGCTCTAAGTTACTTCAAAGGAAGCGGCTGTAAAAAGGAATCACCACTCCTAGAGGTGGGGAAACAAAGGAAAGGAGCTGGTGGTAAGAGTTAAATACAGAGGCAGGCCCTGTGGAGCTGGCCATATGATCCTGTAGTGCCCTTGATGAACAGACCCATACCTCTAGGGATAACACTTGGAGTCCTGCTGCTGGTTTATCTTGGTGAGGAGGCAGTTAACACTCTGAGACTGGGAATGGATTGGATTCTGTTTCTACTTGAGGAAGGAACTCCTAGTGCTGGGGTGAAGATGCAAGTATGAGATGATGCCTGCAGCAGCAGCAAAGTAAAGATTTGCAGATAGGAAAAACAAAGTCTCCCTCCAAATTCTCCATTGACAGAGCCTGAAAAGGGTTTGCTGATTCCAAACAGCTTTACAAGGTAGAAGGAAGATGATGGAGAGGAATTTACAGCCTTCAGAATTGTTTTAACCACTGCACTTGAGAGTCAGTTAAAAAGCAACTTAAACAAAAATAATGTTCTATTATATATTTGAATATGTGAAGGTAGCAAATTCCAAGTTAGCTTTACATAAAATGTCAAAGACTTTAAAATTTCTGGTCAAAAAGCTATAATAGAACTAATGTTCCTTTCTCTTTCCTTTGCACTATGAATAAAAAGATAGGAAGTTTGTGTCATTGAAATGGATTTCTGTCACAGTGTCCTAAGAGGTTAAAATTTATCTTTAAATTTTAATCTTAAAACCAGAAATAATTGAAAACAAAAGAGTTAACAAATATTGTTACAGGAGATGAGTCCTCTAGAATCCAAGTTGAAATACACATCTGCTGCTAGATGTCTCACAGTGGTTTCTGTTGCCTAGCTTTAAATGTATATATATGTATGTATGTGTGTGTGTGTGTGTATATATATATATATATGGTTTGTTTTTTCTTTTGATGTGTATGCATGTATTGCCTGCATGTAGGTAAGTGCACCCGTGTCGTGCAATGCCCACAAAGGTCAGAAAAGTGTGTCAGATTTCCCTGGAACTGGAACTAGCTGTTGTTAGCCACCATGTGGGTGCTGATAATCAAACCCAGGTCCCCTGCAAGAGCAGCCAGTGCTCTTAACTGCTGAGCCATCTCTCCAGCCTGTCCTTGCTTAGTTTTGAAGCAGTCTTTTTTTTGTACAATAAAGCATGATATATGTACATATGGTGCATCACTGTTCTTATTAAAACATAACATGTGAAAGCAATTTGTGGAATATTTTTATATTAATACTGCTTCCTATTGCTTTAACATTTACCTGTAATTTGGTTTTCACTTTTTTATTTGACTTTTAAAAAATAAGTTTAAAAAAAGTTGGGTATATGCACATCAAGTTATCTTTTCAACTCTTTTTAGACACATGTGTTTACATATACCATTTCTTTAAATGAGTAGAAATATTAAGAGTGCTTGCCTGGGATGGGCCAGGCCTTGGTCCCTCAAAAAGAAAAACAGTTGGGGCTGGAGAGATGACCCAGTGGTTAAAAGTACTGACTGCTCTTGCTGAGGACCTGGGTTCGATTCCCAGCACCCACATGGTGGCTACGAACTGTCCTTACCTCCAGTTCCAGGGAAATCCGATGCCCTCTTCTGACCTCCCCAGCATTGCATGACATGGGTGCACTCACATACATGCAGGCAATACACACATACACATAAAATAAAAATAATAAAATATATTTTTAAAAAACAGTGAATAAAGGAATATAATTTATCCAGAGTCTTTTTCAACATGCATCTGGGCAGGGTTTTTTGTTGTTGGTATCAATCTTAAAATCTGAGTTTATCATATCTAACGGAATTTTACAACTACTATAAAGGAGAAAATAAATGGCTCCTTATCTCAACACTCAAATAATAAAAGGCTTCATTATGCATTGTTTGCTTATATATTAAGGGAATAGAGAGATAAAAGATGGTGGAAAAGGAAGAATGGAGAAGTAGAGTCCCACATCAAATATTTTAAGCATTATTGTTAACATAATGAGTTCTCTAGAGAAGGATACTAGTAGGATCTTGATTTTGGCACCAAGCCCAACTAGTGCCAGGATTCAGTAAATGTTTGACAGACGAGTAAAAGAAGATGTAAAAATGTTCTTCCTTCCTTTTGCTCTAAAGATTTCCATGGAAAATGATTATCTGGGACCTCGAAGAATTGAGAGCCTCCAAAAAGAAGATGCTGATTGGCAGCGGAAAGCTCATATGGCTGTGCTGTCTATTCAGGATCTCACTGTGAAATATTTCGAAATAACAGCTAAAGCTCAAAAAGGTAAGTTTTTCAGTAAAATCCCTTAGGAATTTAAGTGTTTTATGATCAGATTAAAATGGGAAAAAAGTGTGAAAGGGCAACTCACCCCAACAGTTAGAGAATAGCCACTATTTGCAAATCAAGGTGACCTTTCAGCTCTTCTACGCACATGTGTATGCTTACCAATGAAATATTTGTTTTTGTCTTTTTGAGACAGGGTCTCCCTGTAGCACCAGCTGGCTTGGAACTCACTATTGTAGACCAGGCTGGCCTGGAACTCACAGGGATCTGCCTGCCTCTACCTCCCAAGTGCTGGGATTAAAGGGTCACCTCGCCTGGCTATTATTATTTTTATTAGAGCCAAGGTCTTGCAGTATAGCCTTGACAAGCCTTTAACTCAGTATTTAGACCAGGCTAGCCTGGAACTCAGATCCACCTCCCTCTGCCTCCTTGGAGATGGGAGTAAAAGGCATGTGTACCCATTTCCAATAAATTGTGTGTGCGTGTGTGCGCGTGTGTGTGTGTGTGTGTGTGTGTGTGTGCGCATGAGTACATATATGTACTGTGGCAAATTGCAGAACTCTTCTCTCTTCTATCATGTGAGTCCTGGGGGATCTGACTCAGGTTGTCACACTGGCCTTTACTTACAGGCATCTCTCCAGCCCTCTGTAATTTAAAATGTTTAGTGTAATAGTACTCCTTTATGTCTTCAGTCAGAAGGTAATTTTGTAATTTCTCTATTTAGATGAGTCTTTGTGTGTCTTTTTGTGTTACTGGTTTTTTTGAGGCAGTATTTAGCTATGGTGCCCAGGCTGTCCTTGAATTCTCCATCTTCCTGCCTTAGCCTCCTGAGGTGCTGGGATTATAAGTGTGTACCTCCATGTCTGGCATTCTGTCTTTGCATTTCTTGCTTTATACAAAGCCAACTATAGCCTAATTTTGACCTATTCCTGCATAGCTTTTAAAAACACCCTAAAGATCCTCTTCTGTCCTCTGCCAGCACTGCATGACACAGGTGCACCTACCTACATACAGGCAATGCACACACACACACACACACACACACACACACAAAAATAATAATAATAAAAAAATATTTTTTAAAAAAACTAGAAAAAAAAACCCTAAATAAAAAACAAACTATACCCCCACCCATATACTTTAAAGAAGTATTCATGTTAAAATATCATGTTTTAAAAAATAGGTTGAAAGCCGGGCATGGTGGCGCACGCCTTTAATCCTAGCACTTGAGAGGCAGAGGCAGGCGGATTTTTAATACCTTCAGCATCTAAAAAATAATCCCGGACCCCAAAACATTTTAAATTTATCAGACAAATCATCTGCAGAACATTATTTCTGAGGGTGAATTAAAGATATCAGAGAATGTATGATGCTGTTGAATTATATTTTAGAAATGTTAAAGGTAATTTACCATGAGGATCAGTGAAATCTAAGATTTTATAGTTCTTTAGTATCAGGTGGTTTTATGTCTTACTACCACTTTTAAAAAATTATTTTTAACAGCTGTGTATGATCGAATGCGAGCAGATCAGAAGAAATTTGGTAAAGCATCATGGGCAGCAGCTGCTGAGCGTATGGAAAAACTCCAGTATGCAGTTTCTAAAGAGACTTTACAGATGATGAGAGCTAAAGAGATCTGTTTGGAACAGAAGAAACATGCACTAAAAGAAGAGGTAACAAAAGCCATCAGTAAAAATACATAAAAAATTTAAAGTTACATAAAAATAGATTTGTTAGCCAGGCATAATAGCAAATGCCTTTAATCCCAGCACTCAGGAGGCAGAGGCAGGCAGATCTCTGTGAGTTCAAGGCCAACCTGGTCTATATAGGGAGTTCCAGGCTAGCTGGGGCTACAGGGAGACCCTGTCTCAAAAAAATACCCCAAAAGTTAAAAATTTTTAAAAACTTAATTTAAAATTTATTAGGTGGGAGTGCATGCCAAAATGTTCCTGTTGGCCAGAGGACTTCTTTGTGGAGTCGGTTCTCTCCTTTCACCTTTATGTGGTTTCTGGAGTTCGAATTTAGTGTTCCTGGGATCTGCAGCATTACTACTCCAACATTATAATTACACCTGAATGAAAAAGCCTTGACTCTTGGGTCCAAACTCTGAGGATGCTCATTCCTCCAGAGATCTCTTGGTACTGGCTGTACGCTGAAACTGCTAATAGAACTGTGTCTGGAACTATGTCCTCAAGTCAGGCCCACCCATGATTTATTTAAAATAAAATGGTTTCTCCAGCCTCAACTGAGGAAGTGCAAGCTTGAATCCACACTCTATCAAGGACCTTTCCATCCATCAAGCTTTCTTCCCAATCTTTACTGTTTTGAGCTACTACATGGGTGCTTGGACCTTAACCCTGGTTCTGCAAGTGCACCAAGTGTTCTTAACCACTGAACCTTCTCTCTAGCCCCAAGTTAATCTAGTTTTAAATAGAAGGAGGGCTGGAGAGATGGCTCAGTGGTTAAGAGCACTGACTGCACTTGCAGAGGACTCGAGTTCGATTACAGCACCCACATGGCGGCTACGAACCATCCTTAACACCAGTTCCAGGGGAATCCAAAGCCCTTTTCTGACCTCCACGGCATTGCATGACACGGGTGCACTCACATACATCCAGGCAATACACTTATATACATAAAAATAATAACAAAAAGATAAAAATAATTTTTTTTAAAAAAAGAAGGAAAAAAGGGGGAAAATGTCAGGTTATAAAGTCCTTCCCACAGTTTTTTGTTTGGTGTTTTGGGGTCTTTTTTTCTTTTTCTTTTTTTGGAGACAGGGTTTCCCTGTAGCCCCATCTGGACTGGAGTTCACTATATAGACCAGGCTGGCCTGGATCTCATTGATCTGCCTACTTCTGCCTCCCAAGTGCTATGATTAAAGGTTTATTCCACCAAACCTTGCTTAAATTTTTTTTTTTTTTTTTTTTTTAGCATTACATATTCTTAGTGGGTCATTGTGACAAATGTGTTCAGTGACTAGGCATGTCTAATTCCTGTTGCACTAATAGTCAATGGTGTTAAAAAGAAAGCATAACTTTCATAATTACTGCCTCAAAGGAACAACACATTGGATTCTTTTGAAACATCAAAATTTTTTAATACTTCATTCCCCAGAAAATTGAATTTACATATTCACCATAACCCCCCCCCAAAAAAACGAAACCCAAAATCTGTGATAGAGCTGAACCCAGAAAAAAAATTTGCTTTGCATTATATATGACTGTTCTTTTGCCTATATACTGTCCTTCTTCATCAGCCAGTGGTTACTCTCATTCTCCTTTTGAAATGCCTGTTTACACACATACATGTATTTGTCTAGATTGGTTTTTAAATCCCCGCTTATTAGAGAGCTCCCTGATAGAATTCTTGCCTAGACTCACATGATAGCCAGCACTAATATAATAAAATAAAAAATTAAATAAAACCATTTTATTCAAATAATAACATAGCATAGAATAATCTAGAGGGTATAATTTCTTAAGCACAATGGTTCTTAGTCCATTAACTGAATCAGACAACCATCAACACAGTGCTTACATACAAACAAAGGAATAACAAAGTAAACCCCTGAGGGTACTAGCAGGTCTTCCCCAATTTTACTTCCTAAGCATTCCTCCCTTAGGTTTCCATAAGTGCAATTATGCAATGTATTCTGTTGACCAGACTTTCTACTCTGAGCATATTTTCAAGATTCACACGTTATTCATTCCTCTGTTTTGTTGCCCAAAGGTATTCATTTCATTGTTTGGTCATCCACATTTTTTTATTTCATCAGATGAGAAAGTTTGGGTTGTTTCTGCTTTTGAAAGTGTCATGAATAATGAAGCTATGAGCATGTACATAATAGTGTTCACATGGGTGCGTTTGTGTGTCTTGGTATGGAGTAGACTTGAGTTTTTTAGCCTTTTGAGGCACCATCAGACTGTTATACAAAGCAGCTGTCCCACTGTATGTTCCCACTGGCAGTGTATGACTGTTAGAATTTTCAGCACATCTTTGTATGTCTTCTAAAAAATGTCTCCAGATATTTACCCAGCTTTTTAACTGGAACTTTCTTGTCATTGTTTTCTTTTGATTTTGTGTTTCCTAATTAAGGGTTTGTGAGAATCCCATATACATTTCTATCACCCAATATTTGACTGGTTTCTTGTTTCTTGAGTTTTTCATAATGATTTTTAAATATTATGTCTAGGTCTGAGTATGGTGATGCATGTCTGTAATTCTACCACGTTCAAGGTGTAGGCAACCAAGACCAAGAGTTGAACATAACCAATTCAAGCCTACCTCTGCTATATAAGACCCTGTCAGCCCCCTTCCACCAAATTGAATATGTATTTTAGTTCTTAGAACAAACTTGTCATGTCTGCTTTTGTTAGTACAGTTTTATATAGAATATGTTGCTTCATGAATCTCTTTTTACCTGAGGAGTTATAGTATAATGTTCTGCAATGATACTTTTGGGGGATGGAGGGGAATAGGGTCTCATTTTGTAGTTCAAGCTACCTTTAACCTTGTCTTTTTAGTGCTGGGATTGTAGGCAGGTACCCCTATTCTGGGTTTAGTAACTAATTATGCTTTACTTGTTTGAAAAATAGTGTATGAAATAGCCTGTAAAGTCTTTTACCTGTGATCTAGAGAACAATCTTTTTGTTAGTAGATGTGCTGGATAGCTTTAGTGTCAACTTGACACACCTGGGGGAGCCTCAATCCGGAAATCGTCTCTATTGGACTGGCCTGTGGCCATGTCTGAAGGGCATCTTCTTGATGAGTGATGTGGGAGGGCCCAGCCCACTGTGGGTGATGCCACCCCTGGGCAGGTGGGCCTGTGTTGCATAAGAAAGCAGGCTGAGCAGGGGCCAAAGAGAGCAAGCCTGTAAGCAGCGTTCCTCCATGGCCTGTGCTCCAGCTCCTGCCTCCAGGTTCCTGCCCTGAGTTCCTACCTTGGGCTCCCTGATGAACTGTGACCTGGGAGTTGTAAGACAAATAAACCCTTTCCTCCCCAAGTTGATACTGGTCAGAGTGTTTTGTCACAGCAATAGAGAACAAACTAAGACAGTAGATCAAATCATTTTTTCCTCCCCTCTTGCTTTTACTTGTTTGCAGTATTAGAAGGTAAAATTGGACCTTATCCTGGACAAAGTACAAAGTACTCAATCTCTTTGAAGGATTTCATCCCCATCTCATGTTCCCCTGAGGCATTTCTACCACAGTCTTCTTTTAATGAGCTTGTTCTTTCTTGTTACTAGCCGCACTTTTATTGCCTGTAGGGTACTGGCTTTGCCTTCATCACATTGGTTAGCTTTGTTGTGTGACCTGTCTGAAACTGAGCTGTTCTGGCAATACAGAGTACCCAAAAGAACTGTGGGGTTAGACTTCTTTCTCACTGCTAATGCAAGAAAGCTTAGCTCCCAGTAAGTTTACCTCCAGCGGTTGAGGAAGGAAGGGGCTCAAATAGGGTCCAAGAGCTTTGAGATAGGTCTCTATGAGATCATTTTCTATGGGCCACATCCCATTACTCTAATAGTCTCTTTTTAAAGTTGTAGCTTATGTCTGAATTCTTCAAAGGATCTTTAAAAAATTGCCAGTTAGTCATTCTTTCCAGGTTTATGCTTGTTGTGTATATAATGTAGGTATTGTGCTCTATATGTACTTAAGTATGACGATGTCCCATGTCAGTTTTAATAACCTTAAAGCACCTACATTACTCATGAAAAACAGAACATACATGAATTTTTAAACCCATCCCAAACAAATTATTTGCCTCTATAGGGTTTATTGGGTTTCTTTCTTTTCTTTCTTTCTTTCTTTCTTTCTTTCTTTCTTTCTTTCTTTCTTTCTTTCTTTCTTTCTGTAACACAACTGTACCCTGCAATTTAGATTATGGGAGTCCTTGTCTTTTATATTTTATATATTTATTTTTGTGTGTCTGAGTGTTTTGCCTGCATGTATATTAGTGTGCCATGTGTGTGCAATGCTCACAGAGGACAGAAGAAGGCATCGGATCCCCTGGAATGGGAGTTGCAGACAATTGTTAGGTGCCTTTTGAGTATTGGGAACTGAATCAAGGTCTTCTGCAAGAGCCCCCAGAGCTCTTAACCACTGAGGATCTCTTTAGCACCTTTGGGTTGTTTTTTTGAGACAGGGCTCACTATGAGGCCCTGGATCACCTGGAACTTGTTGTATAGATCAGGCTGGCCTCCAGCTCATACACCACCCAACTCTGGAGACTTGTAACTGGGGCTACAGGGAGACCCTGTCTCAAAAATACAAAAATAGTGTAAGGATTGTTACTTTTAATTAATACTTTCCTTTAATTTGGTATAGGATAATTTCTTTATTCATTGAAACAGAAGATACTAAAATTAAGATACCATCATGAAACCAAATCATAGAAAGCAGAGTTACAATTCAGTTATCTGGTAGATTTCTATTTTTGATTTGTAGATTAACAGGAAAACCAGAAACAGTATTCCAGCTCTGTGTAAAAGCCTTTTTTATCGGAGAATTTTCATTCACCCCCAGATAATTTAAGCCATTTAAACTTTTTGGTGTATTTTCTATTATTTTTTAAAATTTTTTTGTCTTTTTTGTTGTTAAAAGACAGGGTCTCCCTGTAGCCCCAGCAAGCCTGGAGCTGTGTAGACCAGGCTGACCTTGAACTCCCAGAGATCCACCTGCCTCTGCCTCCCTGGGATTAAAGGCCTGCACCACCATACCTGGCCATTATTTTTTTTTTTTATGTGTATGAGTGTATTGTCTGCATGTGTGTAAGTGCACCCGTGTCCTGCAGTGCCCTCGGAGGTCAGAAGAGGACATCAGATGCCCTGGAACTGGAGTTACAGAGGGTTGTTAGCCTCCATGCCGGGTGCTGGGAATAGAACCTGGGTCCTCTGTAAGAACAATCTATGCTCTTGACCACTGAGCCATCTCTCCAGCCCTAAAACTTTGGGGGGAGAGTCTTTTTTTTTTTTTTGAGACAGGGTCTTCCTGTAGCTCCAGCTGGCCTGGAACTCACAGAGATCTGCCTGCCTCTGCCTTGAGTGCTGGGATCAAAGGTGTGTGCTACCACACCTGTCTATGTCCTATTTTGTACCATCACTAATTTGATAATATTAGAGACCACACCTGGCAGCATTTAGATTTCTTGACCATTTCTGTGAATATAAATAAACAGCTAGCATGTTTAGCTGCATGTAGTGAATTATTCTTGAAGCTAACTCCTTTATTTCATAATTTTGTCTTTCTCCTAAAAGAATGTAGCTAAATTATAATTAAGGCTATATTCCCCTATTTCAGCTTTATTTTAATTCATGGAATAATTAACATTTATTAAATATGAGCATTTAGGATCCCTATAGGCAGTACTGTACATCAGAACATCCTGCAGTGATGGAAATATTTTGTCTTCTCCAGAGGACTATTGGTATAATTCTTCTGTTAATATAACTCTCATGTCTTTAAATAATTTCTATTTATTTCTATGTATATGTTTTGCCTGTTTGTATGTGAGTGCACATGTGCATGCAATGCCTGCGGAGGCCAGAACCAAGCCATGTCTCTGGCCCCAGGAATATATATATTCCTTAAAGTCTCAAGGCAGATGATATTCTCACGTTTATATTTTATAACTTAGGGTAGAGAGGCATGATTTCCTATTTTCAACATTTCTCTCCTAGCCACTACACTTAAGCCCATTTTGGGTCTGTTATTGTTTGATCGTTCACTGATTTATAACTTAATTTATTAAATTATTTTTATGAAATTTATCAGCTGAACCCAGGTTTATTTTCAAAATGTGTATCACTGCACATTTATACCCATTGCCTTTTATTTCAGCAGAGGCAGATGGGTCTCAGTGAGATCCCAGTCCAGCTAGTCTTATCTAGCCACTTCCAAGCCAGGCCATTTGAGGCTGTAGAAGGTACTTCTCTCAAATACAAACACACAAAAAAGTCTATTCTAATTGTTTTGTAATCTGTAGGAATATCTAGATTATAAAGCTAAATGTAAAAGCTTGTTTAAAACAATATTTCTGTGCCGGATTGTCCATCACCTTGACCATGACAGAAGTGTTTATTTAGCACCTCTTTCTATCCTGAGCTGTCCCAGAGCCATTAGTCAGATATCTCCCTCATATTCTGAGGGCCTGAGTAATGCCACATTCAAAATTTTCTACTCTGTTCCATTGGCCTTTGGTGTAGTCACTTCTGGAATATCACTTAAAGCCTGGGCCTCTTTACCAGTGCTGCCAGACTCTACAGGGCTCACTGTTTGTGCCTGTGTCCTCCTAGGTTGTCTAAGAATGAACCTTTAGTTTGCAGAACAGTGGTAGGTCTCAGAGACCCAGCTATGACCAAGGGATAAAGGAGAGTCCCAGCTCTCTGAAGTAATTCACTTTTACCTCTCTGTTATAACTATCAAAGTATGAGTTCAAATTTTCTATGTATCTTATATGGAAAGGGATCCCTATAATTCAGCATCTGCCTTTGAGATTGAGAACAAACCATTGACATTTGTGTTGGAATGACAATGCTTAGGAGCTGTGAGATAGAAACATTACAAATTTATTTTATGGTAATTTTTTTCACTGTTTCATGACTTGATTATTACTGCACAGAAACTGCTTACAGTGGGTGACTGGATTCTCTTCCCCTCACTACCACCTCATTTCTCTGGTAGTATAAGCTCAGCATTCTAAATAAACTACTTTTCCACAGTCGTTGTTTCCAAGTCTGCTTTGGTTGTTTTTTGTTTTAGTTTTAGTTTTATTTTTTTTTTTTTTTTTGTAAAGGCATGGTCTCCCTGTAACCCCAGCTGGCCTGAAACTCACTATGTAGACCAAGCTAAAGTATAGGTGTCTTCTTTTTCTTTCTTTTTACTCCCACTCCTCCCTTTATAAGATAGTAGAAAATGAATCTAGATAGTATTATTGCATATGGTATACAAACACTTCACAGTTGAGCTATCCTCATCCTGGTTTACTTTTTATTTTCAGATAAATGTCGCTGTAGATTGCCCAGACTGGTCTTGAACTTACTCTTTAGGACTGGCCTTGAGCCTGTAATCCTACTGCCTCACCTCCTGAGGAGCCTTGTGTCACTGTGCCTATCCATCTTCCCTTCCCTCCCTCACTGGTTTGCCGTGACTGGCCTCAGACTCCTTGGATTAAGTAATCTTCCTGAACCACAGTGCTGCACCCATCTCAGAAGTCTGGGTTTCATATATACTCATTTCTTAAAACAATTGCTTCAAGGACTTACTGGATAAGTCTAACCATCCTTTGCTTCTTTTTGTTGACTCCAATTAAAAATATTTTTATTTTCTCTCTGCAGATGCAGAGTTTGCAGGGTGGCACAGAAGCTATAGCTCAATTGGATCAGTTAGAAGCTGATTATTATGACCTGCAACTTCAGTTGTATGAAGTACAGTTTGAAATCTTGAAATGTGAAGAGTTACTATTGACTGCACAACTGGAGAGCATCAAAAGACTTATATCAGGTATAATGTGCTTATTAACCATAGAAGCCAACAAAAAAAAGGAAGACATGGAGAATATGTACGTGGATGCCACCTAAGTTTCTCCTAAGACCTTAGAAAGAAATTGTTAAAATGCTAGAAGGAAATCACCACTGGCAAACTGGAGGGTTTTTAAAAAATATTTTTATTTTATGTGTACAAGTGTATTGCCTGCATGTGTACCCATGCCATGTAATGCCACAGAGGTCAGAAGAGGGCTATAGATAGATCCCCTGGAACTGGAGATACAGGTGACTATTAGCTACTTTGTGGGTCCTGGAAGGTGAGCCCAGGTCTTCTGCAAGAATCACCAGTTCTTAAACTTTCAAGGCAGTTATTGAACTCAAAGAAGTGGTTTGAGAAACTCAGTAGTGTATCTATATGTTGGTTTTGATTATCTTTGTAAAACACCTACTATGTTAAAGAATACTTTATCCAGAATCTGAATTTTCAGAACTGTGGAAATGAACAAGCCCCAATTTTAGTCGAAGAAGTATTAGCAGCTGATTACTGTTGGGTGAGGAGGAGCTGACCTTGAAGGGAGAGACTCTAGATAGGCTGACCAAACCCCAGTGGATGAACTTGCACTGAGGATCATCTAGGGATACTAACTTTACATAATAGGCCTTAACACAATGACAGATTGTATTAACTTCAGTGGAGGGCCTATGGGCACATACCAGAAGGGAAGAGGGAAGGGGTATTTCTGTATAAAATACACAAAAATTCAATTTAAATTTTTTTTAAAAAAAATTAAATCTGAACTTTGCATGAGTTCAGTGAGAGAGAAGAATGAGGCCTATTTTTTGTTGGTATTTTTGAGACAGTATCTCCTTGTAGCCCCAGCTGGCCTGAAACTCACTGTGTAGACTGGGCTGGCCTGGAACTCTCTCCTGTCTCTGCCTCCTGAGTGCTAGGATTAAAGGCGTGTGCCAGGACGCCTGGCTTCAGGCCTATATTTATTGAGCATTTACTGTGTGCCAGACACCACAAAACATTTTGAATATTTCAGTCTGTGAAACAGTATTTCCTGTTAGTCACCACTTAACCAAGAAGCCTGTTCTCAACTACAACTTCTGTCGCAGAAAAGAGAGATGAAGTGGTATATTATGACACTTACGAAAGCATGGAGGCCATGCTGGAAAAGGAGGAGTTGGCGGCTTCTGTGCATGCACAGAGGGAGGAGCTACAGAAACTGCAGCAGAAAGCAAGGCAGCTGGAAGCAAGGCGTGGGCGTGTCTCAGCCAAGAAAGCCTACCTCAGAAATAAAAAGGTATTGAAATCCTGCTTTCATTCATTTATCCATAGCTAATCATTCACATTGTAATGTGACTGACATCAATTACTTCCACTTTTTTTTTTTTTTGGTCTTTTTGAGACAGGGTCTCCCCATAGCCCCAGCTGTCCTGGAACTCACTATGTAGACCAGGCTGGCCTTGAACTCACAGAGATCTGCCTGCCTCTGCCTCCCAAGTGCTGGGATAGTGCTGGGATTAAAGGCAGGGGCCACCATGCCCTGTACTTCCACTTTTAAAGCTAAATAACCATTATCTCTTCTCAATTCTCAGTTCATTATGTTAAACATTTATATTTCTCTTAGTGGTGATATGCTCTCTAACAACCCTCATGGTGACTTGCCAAAGGGCATGACTACAAGATCCCATGTGATACATTAAAGGGAGAACTGAAAGGTTCTGCTTGGAAGGTGTAATTATCCTTAGCCTTACTTAGTAAGGGTGGAAGTTAAGAACATGGGATGTTAAGAATATGAACCGAGGTACAGCTGATTAGGAGTGATCAAATCTGAATAGTGGGTAGTTCTGACTCTTTGCAGAAGAAACAGTAAGGATGTACTTCTTGTTTTTTAAACACTTCATCATTAATATTTTATAGCTCAGAAAGCAAGAAGTCAGCAAACCATTTTTTGGCTGGATGCTGAAAAGACATCACAAAGACCAAGTCTTATGAAAAATTGAGGAGGTCCTGTGTAGTAAGATGAGGCCCTTAAGAACAAAAGAACTTTTGAGGGTGTGCAGAAAGAATGAAAGAGAAGTCCAAGTTAGAAGAAGCAGAAGCCTAGGTATGGTGAACAGCAGTTTTAATGCTCCAGAGACATCAGCAAGAGACAAAAATGAGTACATTGTGACATCCTGTATTTGAAACCGTTGGGTCCTCATGTTTACTGTTTGGGGAGAGAGTTGGAGCAAGAGCTAGAGTACAGTGGTGGGGAGGGGATGATCACAGAGCGAGGTGCCTGCACACACAGTGATAAAGAGGAAACTAAAAATGTTGACCCTAAAGAGAAAGCTGCAGAGAAAACTTGTGACTTAAAGAACAAAATGTACCTTCCTGCTTAATAGCACCATGTATTCCATTGTTTACATGTCACTGTGCCCAGAGTTACTGGCTCCTCCCTGCTTGGTTTATCTGGCACCATTTGTTTAATAATATTCAATTTTCAAATATCATTAAGACTTTCTCTAATTAAAAGAGTGGTCAGAAAACCCAGGTTCAATTCCTAGCACTTATATGCCAACTAGCAACCCTCCATAACTCCTGTTCCAGGGCCTTGAATTCCTCAGGGGTGCGCTTCCACACATGCAGGCAGTGAAGGATATGTGCTTGGAGAAAACTTCCAAAGGGCCCCAACTGGTTTAGGAAACCTTAATCTCTGATCCAAGCTAATTTCCAACCCAGGAATTGTATGAAGCCCCCAAACCTGGGACTGTGTTGTCTCAAAAAATAAGTAACAGCTGGAATTGTCTCAAAATCTCCAAACTGACACTTACTTTGAACTAGGAAAATAACCCTGTCTCCCTCCCTTTCCCAATTCCCCAACCCTTATAAGCAGCCCTTTTTTGAAATAGGGTCTTCCTGTAGTCCCAGCTGTCTGGAACTCACTATGTAGACCAGGCTGGTCTTGAATTCACAGAAATCCTCTGCTTCTGACTCCCTAATGCTGGGATTAAAGATGTGCACAACCATGCCCCACTCATCTGTCATTTTCACAGCTCCTTGGTCCATCCCAATCTAACATTTTCTAACAGTCAATATAGTCATACACATAAAAATTTAAATAAAATATTATTTAAATGACAGAAGGTAAGATGAAGTATGATATTGCTAAAAACTTGGCAGGCAGGTTATATGAATTATTTTGTAGAGAAGTACCTATCTGCCAATATATTATAATTAAGATAATTTTACTTTTGTGTCTTTAAGCTCTCTTTTTAGTACTGACAAAATATGTGACCAGAAAACTGTATTTTCATGATACTTAAACGAAAACCAGACAAAAATCATGGCTTTAATGCATTAGTGGTAACTCAGAAATACAGACTTCATGCCAGTGGTTTGTAATATTCTTTCTTATTTTGTCCAGACTTATTTAAAGACCATAATGATTCTAGTCATAGCTGAGAGAGACATTTGAAATTGAGCATACTCTGGTCTACCTTGCCCCATCCTGCCCCCTCTAAAACAGGAACTCCAGGGAAGTTCTGTAAACTTCCACAGTATTTGGCATATACTTTCACAGTCCAGATGAGAAAGACACGTAGTTTGCTTGGTGTAGGTTGTCAGATAATCCTTGAATTAAAATGTATTATCTGTATTTACAGGAAATTTGTGTTGCAAAACACAATGAAAAGTTCCAGCAGCGTTTTCAGTGTGCAGAAGAATATAGAGCCCATCACACAGTGCAACTAGTAAGTTGGGATTCTCGGGAGACTTGGAACAAAAGCTCTTATTTCTTTTTTCATACCATGGTATATCTAAAAAGTCATCAACCAGACCCTTGATCAATTTATGGTAAGAGTTGTATGGTTTTGCATTTTTCTGTTTAGGTGTTTTGAGTTAATTTTTTATAAAAAGCATTTCATTGTATACATCCATACACTTGTTTTAACATCATTTAAGTAACTTTTGTTTTGCTGAGTGAATATTGCTGTTTAGTCAAAGGTCAGATGATATGTGTCTGTATGAGTTTCTTTTGGAGTTACTCTATTCATTTAATCCAGATCTTTTGCCTACATGTACTTTAGAGTACACAAAAATAGCTTGCCATTGAACCTGTAGATCAGACTGAGAGAAGTGATATCTTGACGATAATTGAATTTTCCTCCATACAAATAAGGACTGTGCTGGATAGCTTTAGTGTCAACTTGACACACCTGGGTTGAGGGAGCCTCAATCGGGGAATTGCCTCTATTGGACTGGCCTCTGGCCATGTCTAAGGGGCATCTTCTTGATGAGTGATGTGGGAGGGCCCAGCCCACTGTGGGTGATGCCACCCCTGGGCAGGTGGGCCTGTGTTGTGTAAGAAAGCAGGCTGAGCAGGGGCCAGGGTAAGCAGCATTCCTCCATGGCCTGTGCTCCAGCTCCTGCCTCCAGGTTCCTGCCCTGAGTTCCTACCTTGGGCTCCCTGAACTGCATGTGACCTGGGAGTTGTAAGACAAATAAACCCTTTCCTCCCCAAGTTGGTACTGGTCAGAGTGTTTTGTCACAGCAATGAAGAACAAACTAAGACAAGGACCATTTAATTCTCTCATTTATCAGTTTTGTGATTTTCTTCATTTTAGATCTTACAATATGACATAAAGGTGTAGATTTATACCTTTTCTTTTTCTTTGTGAGGATTAATAGTATGTGTTTTTTGTTTCAAAGTCTAGTTGGTATACTGCTTATTTGTTAGAAATTGATTGCTGTAATGGCTTATTTCATGATTTTTTTTTTAATTTCGGTATAATTTTTTTCTAATTATTTAATAACAACATGATTAGAAGCATTTCATTACAGCATTAACATATTCAATAACAATTTCCAGAGCAAAGATGCTTCTCTTTCAATGAAACATTAATATCATAGAGTATTGA